TTCACGAGAGTCACGGTTTTGCTTCCGCGAGAGGCACAGTTGTGCTTTCGCGAGAGTCACGGCCGTGCCTCTCGGAAAGGGAAAAATATGTGTTTTCTGTTTTTTTTCTTTCGCGAGAGTCACGGTTTGCTTTCGCCAGAGGCACGGTTGTGCTTTCGCGAGACTTACGGCCGTGCCTCTCGGAAACGGAAAAAAAATGCGTTTTCTGTTTTTTTTCCTTCCATGATAGTCACGGTTTTGCTTCCATGAGAGGCAGGGTTGTGATTTCACAAGAGGCACGGGCGTGCCTCTTTCGGAGAGGGAAAAAACCGTGCTCCTGGTTCGGTTTTTTCGCCCGGTTTTTTGTGAAAAAAAGTTCGTCAAAACCTATCAACACGGGATCTAGTTTTGAAGATCTCGACACGAGAAATCCAATGGTGAAAACAGTTCAAGATTTGAACGCATAATTTGAAAGATAAAACGTTTTGAATAAATAAATCTACGAAAAAGGAAAACTCACGGGTTGCGACAAATGGCACGCTCCATGTGCACCACTTGTCGCGACCTGGGAAGCTGAAGTGTTTTTTGAAACGAGTACTCCTTAATTCCTTAATTAGTGATTTCGAGGACGTCTTACCTCCAGGACGCCCTACATGGGCCAGCCCATAGTCAAGCAGCTAAACGTACAACAGGTTTTGTTCGTTGTTTTCGGTCATTTTTTATGTTTTATTTTTGTTTATACTATAAACATGTTTATGCGTTGCGATGAAAAAAAATAAAATATCACATGATACTAGTCCAATATGCAGGGCATGACTATCAGGTTGTGCACATGTTGCGATAGAAACAGTGTTTTATCTATCAAGCCGGGCAGAAGCCTATTTTCAAATGAATTGATAAAACAACTTTTGAAAACTATTGAGTTCACGTTCACCATAGTGTTTTCCAGCGTGAAACCGTCATAATGCCTTGCACACCTAGACGATGTTATCCTTAACTCGGTTTGGCTTTCATGAAAATTGCTACCGAGGTCGCAACATATGTGAACATATGCCCCGAAGAGATACTGTTTTTTAAAAGGACAATGTGGAATACCGAATACTTGACGATAGTATCACGACTTGATTTCGTAAGACATCACCCTGAAATATTCTATGGTCGGGCAGTTTCGTAGTGTATGGACCCTTCTTGACCTAGGCTGATTATTAATCATCCACCTCACACTGACCTAGCTATATAGTACTCCCTTCGTTCCTAAATGTAAGTCTTTGTAGAGATTCCATTAGGTGAACTACGTACGGAGCAAAATGAATGAATCCATACTTAAAATGTATCTATATACATCCGTATCTAGTTCATAGTAAAATCTCTACAAAGACTTACATTTAGGAACGGAGGGAGTATATGATTTGTTCCACGGTTAGTAAAAACATATATGGAACAGTGCATGGACGCAAATTAGATCTTTTGTTTCAGCTAGCTCCATCATGCTCTCTCAATGTGCACTCATTATCTTCGGGGTTTTAAAATGTTCTCCGTTAGTTTGGAAAAGTTCAAGAGTGTAGAATTTTTGATAGCGTAATTTTAAAAGTGTCCACGCGTTTTTAAAATGTTCACGCATTTCAAAAAGAATGTACTTCACATTTTTCAACAAATTTGTGCAATGCAAAATAAAAGCTCATTTAGTTCAGAAATATGTTTTGTATCATTCAAAAAATGTACTTTACATTTTAAAGAATGTTCTAGCATTTCAAAAAAATTGTGACATTTAAAAAAAAATACAACGTAAAAAATTGTACACATAGTTTTAGAAAAAAATTGTGTCATTTATATAAATGTCCGAACGTGTATTTGAAATGGTTTAACACTTACTTAAAACTATATTCAAAAGTATATTTAAAAAATGGTATTCATGTGTTTGGGAAATGTGAAACATGTATAAAAATGTTCACAATTTCAAGAGAAGTTGCAGTTTTAAAATATTAACATTTTGCTAAAACACTTGCACTTTCTGATATATTTTTAAAACATGAACTTTTTTAGATTTTCTATAATTTCAAATAGTTGTTTAAAATATAGAAGAAGAAAAGGAGGTTATTAAATGAATGATTTTTTTAAAAACTCGAAATAAACTAGCAAAGAAAAAAGCAATAAAACAAACAAATGACGGATCTAGAACTTCTAAAAGATTCCCCAAACCGGCTAGGAACCTTCTAGTTCCCAAAACCGGAACTAGAATCTGCTGTGCCTAGTGCTAATGGGTCGGCCCATCTCTCGGTCGACCGGTCGCTCGGTTGGGAGAACATCCCACAGTTTGACACAGTAAGCATGACATATTGATTAGCCCTATTAAAACATGCGCTGATTTAACGCATCGCTTCTTCGTGTCCATGCGACTTTTTCCCTTTCGTGTTTGGTTTTCAACTTTTTTGTTGTTTTGCATGTTTTTTTATTCTGGATAGGTTTTTATATTTAAACATGGCATTGAATGTTTTTCATTAGTTATATTTTTTTATGATTTTCTTAAAATGTTCCAAATCTAAGAATGATTGTGAATTTTCAAGAAAAGCATTGAATTTTGTTAATGTTTGCGAATTTAAGAAAAAAATATCATAATTTCAAAACACGTAAATAACTTGTAAAAACATTCACAAATTTATAAAAAGGTCACATATTTAAAACATGTTCATGAATTATAAAAATAACCGCAAATTGACAAAAACGTTCATAGATTTCAAAAAAGTCGATGAACTAAAAAATGAACACAAATATAATAAAGAAAACCAATAAATAGAAATAAAAAATGACTAGAATCTAAAGGGGGGCATGGACCAACCCGTTACTAAACAATGCTTCGAGGGGTTTTCTTGATGCAACTCGAGGGGAAGAAGTGCAAACTACACTTGCAAAAGACATGTTGTCATGTGAAGCATGGGAAAAACATGGTCTCGATCCGATCATCGTTATTGAGCAACCAATGCCAACTTATTGGAACAATATCTATGAATACTTCGATGCATGCAACACAAGTGGCATCTATAAGCTTCGCCTCCAACATCAATGGGCAATTGTATCATGGGAGTGTCAAAAGTGGTCACCTTGCTTGGCACGACTTCAACACGAACCCAAGTGCTACAAATGTCAAAGATAGGGTGATTATTGTTCAACTTCATCGACTATTTTCTTCATCTCTTAGGGATTTATCTAGTAGGAGATGATAGCCTTTTGATGGATTGGCGGCTAACTTCTTTTGTCACTTGTGGTATGTAGCTCAACATTTGCATAATAACTGTTCAAAGACTGAGGGGGAAAGGTAAAACATTCACTTTGAACAATTGTTGCATGGAGATTGAAAATGAGAAGTGGAAGAGCTACGTGAACAATGATTTCCAAGAAGAGCTTGGTTGGAGAAGCAACACAAGGTGATGATGATGATGACAACGCCGACGACGATGCATCAAGTGGCGAGGATGGGAAAAGAAGCCACATTCCCAACTCGGTTGCTCCTAAAAAGAGGCCTGGTGAAAGAAAGGACGATAATGAGAAATTGAAGAAGGGAGGAGATAATGACGTGAAGGAATCACTGGACACCAGCATGACTATAAGAAAGGAGATGGTCGAAGAAACAAAAATATTGATGGCCAAAGAAATGGAGGAGCGGAGGGAGGCCAGGAAAAGGAGGAGGACGGTCGAGAGAGGAGCACGGGGGGCAAGGGGAGGAAGGCGGAGGTTGAGGAGATGAAGGTGGCATGGAAGAAAGAATCAAAGAGCATTGAAAATGACAAAAGAAACATGTTCATGAACACAAATTGGTCTTAATGTGAAGGCAAGAGCATATTTGGAGATTTTGTCGCGATCAAGTGTTGGCGATGAGATCTATGGTAGGCTTCATGGGTGGCATGAGAGGATGCATGGATGCCATGGTGACAATGGTGCCTATGACGACAATAGATGCATGGGTCACAATGGTGCCAATGATGGAAATGAAGAGGATGCGAGCACTAGTGGGGAACGTATCCGGTGCACACAACCTTATGGTGCTACGAGTGCACAAATCGCACATAACGTACATCTATCGTTTCACCAAATATTCAGATACAAATTAGACCTACAACTCTAGAAACAACAAAAATATATATTCAAACATTGTTATGAATAATACACTCTTTTTAGAATGGGTCATAAATTTGGCCCATTAGCATGGTAACTGCTGAATTTGTTGTTTCTGTTTCTCCAGCTGTAATTCAATTATTATTTCTGGTGACATGGTAGACATATGTTATGTGCACACACCAAATTATTTCAGAATTTTTAAACACCCATACAATGATTTTGGATGGCTGGTGCACTGGTAGCAGCACAAGGCCAGATGTACCGGATAAGCGTTCCAGTGTGGTGAGTCCAAGCCGGAGTGAGATTTCACTGCAAGTAGTGTATCCGTAGGCAGTAAGCACGCGCTCACCTTCATTTCTGCGGCACTCCCCCTCTAAGCATGGACATGGTCACGGCCGGCCGCGCGTGAACCTGCCCGTCTTTGTCCAGTGCAGCAGAATGGTGATGATCAAAGACGGAACGGGGCGTGCGAGCAACCGACAGCCCTGCCGTGACCCCCGCTCCCGTACGTCCGATCGGGATCGCGCGTACCCCCGTTTCCCGCCACTTCCTCCTGCCCGCCTACCCAACCACCCCTCGTCCCCACGCCCTGCTTCAACCAATTCGCCTCGCTCCCGAGGCGGCAACTGCCACAACTGCGCCGCTCAGCGCTCCGTAGGCCTAGCCGTGCCGTGCGCGGTAACAAAATCCACCTAATCAACGCGTTGCTAGCAGTAAAAACTGTCACGCAAGATTCAAATCAAATTAGTAAAGATTTACTAGATCACCAGCAAAAGAGGTGAAGCGATCATGGAGGGATCAGTTCACTAGCACGGGAGAAAAGAGAGGAAGGAATTATGCACCCTGTCTGATCTGATCTACTACAGCTTTTCCATGGTTCTGATTTCATGATCCGGCGGGGACCCGTTTCACGCGAAGAAGACCTGCACGGTGCCGGTGATGGGGCAGCGGCACGCGGGGCAGGCCGCGGCGGCGGCGGTGCCGGCTTGGGAGGCAGAGGCGCCGGGATCGCACGCGGCGCACACGCAGAGGTGCCTGCACGGGAGCAGCACGGTGGTGGCCGGCCGGAGCCGGCACGCGCGGCACGGCCTGGCCGGTGGCGGGGCCACCACCTCCACCACCCTGTCAGGGTCGATGAAGCCGGACTCGGCGTCGTCCGCCGCTCCCTCGGCCTCCTCGGCGGCCTTGCCACTCCTCGCCTGCGCTGTGGCCGCTTCCTGCTGCAACTGCGCGTGCAGCGCGGCCGCCGTGGACTGGTCGGACATTGCCTTGGCTTGCCACGACGCCGCCTCCGCCCTCAGCCTGGCCAGCCGCTCCTCCAGCTCGACGCCGCGCCGTGCCGCCTTGAAGGTCTCCGCCTCCACCTCCCTGACCCGCCGCGCGGCCAGCGCCTCTGCGGCGCCCAGCAGCGAGCGGTTCTGCCGACGCCTCGTGTCGGCCAGCGCAAGCCGGAGTCTCTCCGCCTACAAAGGAAGAACGAACCCACCATCATCACAACATCCACCATGTAGATCGATCGATCGATGGCAAGGCCAAAACCAATCAAGCAAGCGCGCGGATCCTCACGTGTTCCTGGAGCAGCCGGTCGATCTCGTTGTTGTGCCGCCCGCACTGAGCGGCGAGCTCGCCGGGGAGAAGGGACGACGTCGACGACGTGCACGCCACGTGCTCCGAGCCTCCCTCGTCGAAGTCGAGCCGCAGGCCCGTCGCCGCCGGCCGCCGGTGCAGCTGCGCCAGGTGTATCACCTTGTGCCCGGGAGAACCCTGCGGCGCCTGTAGGGAGAAGAGGCGTGCCGGCGGCGCCACGGTCTCGCGCGGCCGCTTCCGCCCGTTGCCGCCATCTGCGACTGCATCGACCAAAGATGTGTGTTAGTTAATCGCCTCAATCACAACCGTCATCGAGAAGGAGAAGGTAATCAAGCAGCACGCGATGCGTCGGTTACCTCCATCTCGTCGGGAGAAATCCATGAAGAGGGGAGGATGCTGCTGCTGCCCCTGCTGCTCCAGCGACGGCGCCACCATCTCCTTGCGCGGCTCCATCGGCGCGGCGCAGCCTCTGCCCACAACCCGGACGCCCAGATCACCCATCCGGCCGGGGGAGCGATCACCTCGGAGCGGAAGTCGGGGACGGCTAAAGCAGCAGCAGCGGCGTGGGCGACGCGCAGGCGGCGAGGACGAGGAGGCGCGATTGCCGGTGGCTGCTGCTGCAACAGGGCCGCGCCGCTGCCATTGCCCCGTTCGTGCTATTTGAGGCGCGAAGCGCGTGCGTGGGGAAGAGGAGTTGGATGGGATGGCGGTAGGAGGCGCGGGGATGCGATGGATGAGAGAGTTGCGGCGGGGGGTGGGCAACGCAAACGCAACGCGACTCAACTGTTCCACCGTCCCTCTCGTCTTATCAGGGTGGCGTGGGCGTGGGCTTTCAGCTTTTGCTGGCTCCTCTTTTCCCTCGCTCTCTCCCGTGAATCGTGATGGCAACGTCAGCCTCGCCGTCGTGCCCGGCTTTCCCTACGTGCACCACCCACCCCACAGCTGCATCTGCATGCACGCCTTGAAGAATCCCCCGTCCAAAACCCAACAGCTCAAACCAAATGTTTTAACCGCTTTCCTGCGTTATTGTGCTGTTGGATCTACACGCAGATGAGTCAGACGGCCATCGACATATTGCACGTAGATTAATTTTACTATAACCGGGTCGTTGTTCTCACGTCGTATTAATTGGACATTTGGACGCTGTTCCTCGGTCCTCTGTCCAAGTAAGTAAATCTACTTCCAAGGACTCCCAACAGTGCCACGACGGCTAGTAGAGTAGGCATCGGATGCTAGGCGCTCTTGACTCTCGTGTCTTTTATTCTGTTCATTCGTTCGTTTGGTCAAGCCTCAAGCGGGCAGCATCTATCTATCTGTAGCCGTGGGCTTTCGGCGTACGGGCCGAGAGGAAAGAGACGTTGCACTGCATCCACATGACAACAGGGAGAGAGAGGGAGAAAGAAACGTCGGTTTGACGGAGGCTTCTCTGCGCTGCACGCAGCAGCCAGGGGTGAGATGAAAATGAAAAGAAAGGCCAGGCCGCAGGCGGCAGCATCGATGGTGTTCCGACTCCCAAGCAGGAAATGCAGGCAGGAAGGCAGGCAGCGAGTTGAGTATTGGATTCGGAGGCACGCACCGCACCGGCCTCAAAAGCATCGCTCCGTGCGCTCCGCCTTCGCTGTAGCCTCGGCGCACGCAAGGGACCGCGGCACAGGCCCGTCTCGAGATGCGCGAAAGGAGGAGAGACATATTGCTACCATTTTCCTTTTTCCCTTTTCAGCCACCGTCGCAAGTTCCTCCTCTCCATGTGGCATGCCGTGTTGGTCAAGGTGAGAGGTACTAGGGTTTGGAAATTTCAAAACCAATTCTAGATTCGTTTCATTGGATTTAGACGAATTTTACTGAATTTGAATTCGGCTTCAATCCAGTGCAAAATTTCAAAGTAAGACGCATGCCGTGCCCTGTAAAATTACCGAAACAATGGTTTCTGGTCTGGGAGCTGCGTAGAGAAATCCCACCACGAGCAAATTTTAATTCTGGCATCGACGTTTCCATGTATACAATGCTCCCGACAAAAGAAATCGTCTATCGATCAACTCCAACACAGTCTTCCAGATAGGTTGATGGCAGCAGCAGTACCGGATTAGCCTGAGGCCGTGTGGAGTTTTCAGCTTCGCTCGAAGAATTGCGTCCTCCTTGTTCGATGTGCTTAAGGTTCTTTGGGAGAGCTAGTGACGGCAGGGTCTCGCCGGAAGGATTATAGGGCAGGGGTTAGATTATATAGGAAAGCGGGTCAACAAACACATGAGGTGGTGGTGTTGGCAATGTTGGAGGTTGAAATTGTTAGAAATTAATTAATTAGAATAATTAGGGGATAATCCCTGCTATGCTGGTTGCTTTAGTTTGGCAACTGCTCCTTGTAAACCGCCTCTGTACATAGGTATATATACTCAAATCTTCAATCAATGAAACGCCTATTCCATCATTTGCTTCTCTATCTGTTTTCACACTTTATCAGCAATGCTAGGCGCCGGTGCACCGGCGCAAATTTCAGTCGGTCGCGTCCCGTGCGTCCGATATGAAAATCCATCATTCGCTTCTCTCTCTGTTTTCACACTTTATCAGCAATGCTAGGCACCGGTGCACCGGCGCAAATTCCAGTCGGTCGCGTCCCGTGCGTCCGATATGAAAATTTCCAACCGTCAGATCCAGCCTCCCACTTCGTCTCCAACCTCCAAATTCCCACGTACCTTTGACTTTTCCCCAAAAATCAAACCAATGTGCCTCATGTGGGAGAGAGGACAAGGCAGCTAGCGCCGCCGACCCCATCCATGGACGAGCAGGCAACCACCCACTACGAGTGAGCTCGCGGTGGTCCGTCGACCCTGGTTGCAGCGAAAAAAATCTCAGCAAACAAAATAACTCCGATGGTTAATTGAAGCAAAAACAATAGCCGATTCCATCCAAAATTAACAATGGTTCCAGCAAAAAAGTCACACTAGCAAACTCCAAAAAGTTCAATTGTAGCAAAGGAACTAGCTGGTTCCAGCAAAAAATTGTGCTGGTTCCAGCAAAAAAAAGTCGTCGGTGAGGGCGCGCTCCAGTTCCAGCAATATTGGGTGTTGGTTTCCAGCATGTCGTGTCGCCGGAGATGGATGTAGCAAATCCAGTCATCGTTGTAGCTTTACCCGTTGCCCGTTGAAGCAAAAACATGGCGCTGTCGCCGACGGGCACGCTTGTCGTCGCGTGGTTGTAGCAAATTCAGCCGTCGGTGGTAACGTTTCCAGTGCCGGATGTAGCAAATCTCAGCACAGTTGTCGCCGCCACAAAATTCACCGTGGTCCCTTGCAACAAATCTGGTCGTCGGTTGTAGCACTACCAGTCACCGATTGTAGCAACAATCGTGCGGCAGAGGAGCTAGGAGTGCGCCATGACTAGAGGAGGATGGCGCATGACCATGTCGCCCACCCAAGGAGCTTGCCGGTGTCTCCCCCCTCCCCCAACCCCCACCCCACCCACCCACTCCCCCTCGATTTGGCGTGGAGCACCTCAAGGGAAGCAACAGAGCTGCTACCGGGGCCATGGAAGTACCATGTGAGAAGTTCCATGGCGTGGGCCTTGAGGTGAACGACTCTCATGGGAGGAAATGGAGCTAATGAGGTGAAGAGTTAGCTCGCCGGAGTAGCAGATCGACCGGATCAGAAAAAATGAAGGGTGTGGTGCTTGGCCTGCTACAGAGAGATGGGGAAAGGACGAGGACTGCGGCGCTGTGAAGAAAGGAAGTGGAAGAGATAAGGCAGAGATAGGGGCCACCAAATTACGTGTCGCTCCGAAAATAAAACGCACTAGGAGCGTGCGTGAGGCGGCCGACCCAAGCTTCCGCCAACTCGCCGTTCCCAAAAGTTTTCCTAATAGAAAACATAATCTAACTTTTGTCAATAGATGTTCATAATTCTATTACCATGTTTTCTCTAATATGCATGAGTGTGCATATCATATATTAAAGAAGAAAGGCGAAGAATGCCTGCACCACCAATTTACAAAGGTGTTGTTACAACGCTACTCCTCACTACTCGTCCACCGGTCTAGTCTAAGGAAGAAGGGGTCCATGTTCCCTTTAAACTTGCCAGCTATCGACCATAACCTTCCTTCAGACCTGATCCTACCTAGGAGCTCACTCATCGAGGGCGAGGCTCCGTCGAACAAAATAGCATTCCGATGCTTCCAAAACTCCCACATAGTTAGTACAAAGATAGTGTGGAGATCCTTCTTCTGCCAGTTGCTCGGTGCTTGCTTACCATCTAGCCATTGGTGAATGGAGTCTTCTGATGTCGGCGTCCAATCCAGCTTGCCCAGGACCTCACAAATCACCGCCCATGTTGATCTAGCAAGCACACACGTTAGTAGTACATGATTTATTGTTTCATCCTCCTGGTCGCATAAGGGGCATGCGTCTTGATGCGGCAGTCCTCTTCGCACAAGACGATCCGATGTCCAACACCTATCCTTGAGTGCAAGCTAGGTAAAGAATTTGCATGTAGATGGGGCCCGAGACTTCCAGGTCAGCTCCGACATGGGTTCCACTGTTGGGATCTACGGTAGGGTGCGTCGACTGCAAATTAAAATTTCCTACGGGCAGAACATCCAGGAACATGCTACGGGAGATGGATCACAGATCGTTACCACCAGACGCGCAATGTTGTGCAGCGGAAGAAGAGTTGGGGTAGCGCGTCCGCGTGTATCGTCTCCTCCTCGTCCGATCTCCCTCGAACAGCCGGTCGTCCGATCCCACGTACAAGTTCGCCGGAGCGGCGCAAGTGCACCGCCTCTAACGGTATCCGCGCGTGCAGGAGGAACACCGTGCGGCGGACTGCTAGGTCCGATCACACAGTTGGCGGCGAGTGGAGGTGGCTATTCGGAACACATGCAAACCCTAGTGACAGCGCTGAAGCGATCAACCAAATGAGTGTGTCGCACCTCCACTTTATATAAGCGTCCGTCGCGGGCTCAACACTTGGGCCTCGCACGGACCCTAAAGCCCACAAGTCTACTCGGCCACAATCCGAATACATCTCGGATCACATCCGACCAGTGTCCTCGGATCCGACCTCATAGGTTCCTTCCCTTAAGCGCGCGACCCCTTAGGTTCAAGTCGGCTTGGTCACAATTTGGATTACCTCCGACCTGCACGGTTGGTAGCGGCCTCTAGCAAGGCGTGCCGACCACCAAGCAGACAATGAAGCTGGTTAGGCGAACCTGTACAACATGTCACACTTCTGTTCCCTTTGCCGCACGGTATATGTTGTCGGGCTCAAGGCGAGACTGTCATCCTTGTGCTAGCCCTACCTCTTTCTCGTTCCAGTGATGCCGACCACTATCCGGATTATCTCATAACCCTTGTCGCATGGCGATGCTTATCCTGGTCGGATCACACGAGGGGCCCAGAGTATATCTCTCCTGATCGGAGGGGCAAATCCCATCTTGCTCGACCATGTCTCACAGCATGGGACTGGACAAACCCGAAACCTACCTTTGTAACTACCCAGTCACGGAGTAGCGTTTGGTCGGCCCAAAGCAAGTCTGTCACCATCCCGAGTACTTGTGTCAGCTCAGGTCTTAGGATATAGAACATATGTTGTACTAGAGACTCACAGATGACATATCACTGCGTCTCATAGTTGGGTCTGTCCAACTCGGACCTTA